TGAAAAAGACCTCGGCTCATCGTCCTGCGACCTCGATGACTCCGGGCTGAGCTTTCATCCTTCATGTGACAGACATCGTCAGAGATGGCAGGCTTAGATTCTACTTCTTATTCCTTACTTTGCGACCCTTATAAGTCATTCTATGATTTAGTTGGCTGTTTTATCCTTGTCTTATATGCATGTATGTGAAAGAAGCTGTTTTGGTTATTGTTCTTAAATAATTATTTCTGGCTCTGACGATGTCTGTCACATGGTGGACGAAAGCTCAGCACGGAATCCTCGGGGGCTTAGAACAGTGAGCTGAGGTCTTGCTCGCCAAATTCAACAGTAACAAATTCAAGGCATCCCTCCTTCGGTATCCGGTGCTGCCAATTTATGAATCCCTCACACTCGCCTTCTCAAACTAAATGAAAGGTATGCCTATATCAGTCTACTAAGGGATTCTTCAAAACCCAGTTTCTCTTCATATCGAATGCCATAGCAAATATAACTTTGCTTGATCGATAATCCCACCACAGATTGTAATATAGGAAAAAGCCTGGCATCCCTTGAAATGTACAACTACCCTGTGAGACTAGGGCACTCGTGGAAATGTGGCGTATCGGTTAATATGCCGATATTACCTGCTGCGCTGTCATGGCTTGACTCTCGCTGGAGGTGTTGATAAAACCTATGCGAGGTCGAAACTGCAGTCCACCCTGGATGAGAACACCTTTTGGGAAGGCAAGGCTGTGTGAAGTTCAATGGGAGACGTCAACTATGCTCGTATCATTGTGGGAAAACGCAACTACGAGTCCTACATCACCTTCAACCTAATATGATGAACACATTTCATATATCTGATTTACTCTTTGTATCAAAATCTTATATGCAAGCGAAGAATAAAATGATTTAATTAATTTAAGTCGTATGTTAATCGTGGTGCTTGTGAATGTTTTTGTTTGTGTGTTCTTATATCTCCTCATGTTTACACATATGTACAAAACCATCAGGGATATCATAACGTATAATCTGACCGTGGTCACCAAGGTTTAATAAACGCCATCAAGGAGATCGAGGGAAAATGTTTCCGCAAAGCCAGCCGACAAGTTACTGATAGGAATCCGTCGTCCTGCGATGAAATCGTCTTTTGAATCTCTTCATCACGCATGCTCACCTGAAATGAAAGAGAGCTAACAAATTATAAACGAATAGATTCCTCAAAACTCTAGCTCCGTTGACTTTCAAGGCAAAACTGATATATTTCGTGTGTGTGCGTGCGTGTGTGTGAATGCGTCTAGAGAGGACTAATCTACTTGCCATTAAAATTAAAGCATATTTGGCTGATCGGGCGATCTTGAATCTAATTACAGACAAAATGCACCATTGGTCAATAAATTACATGAAGTGACAAAAATTCGGATTAGGCAGAATCTAAGTGGAACGTCCACAATCATAGGCATGACGGTTGTGCTTAACCGAGTACAGACATTATACGTGGTCACCCACAAATGCAAAAATCCCCACCAGTCCCAGTAATTTAGCGTCAACCGACTTTGTCTTGAAAAAGTAATTCTAGTTGTTTGGAACCGTTTGCCAGTGAATCCTCAATCCCATGGTTAAAGACCCTCGGGAATGGCGAAGGGGGTCGAGATTGACGTTGAGTCTGGATGAATGAGCCATCTTGTGCAGAACCAAGCCCTGGGAGAATCGCAATCAGTACATGCAATACGACTCAAAGAATGGTGTAGCTCGTTGACATGTGTGACCGATGCTCAATGTATTATATACATCACGGAAAGCTTGTCCATTTTGTCTTTGCAGCATAAAACCATTATTTTATATGTATTCATCCTATTTCGTTTAAGGTGATGAATGACTGGTAGTTGAATTTTCCCACAATTATATGAGTAGAGCTGACGTATTAATTGAATCTGACGTAGCCTTGCTTTCCCAAAAGCTGTTCTCATCCAGGGTAGACTTCAGTTTCGATCTCGCCTAGGTCTTAGCAACACCCCTATCGGGGCTCGAACCATGACAGTGCAGCGTGTAATCTCGACACGCTAATCCCTACGCCACATTGTTACGAGTGTCCTTGGCTCAGAGGTCACATGTGCGTTTCAAGGAAGGCAAGGCATTTTCCCACATCACATCACATCTCATATAACTAATGTATTGGCAGTCTCGAAGCCCAACTTATGAACGAAGTATAAATAAATACTCAAAATATGCCCAGATGTAATGTGAAGCTGGGAGAAATGGGCTACAAACGTCTTGGGCAGAAGATATGATATATTTATTCCTCATCCATCTTTGTTGCCTGTTGAACAGTAGGGCTCTGTTGAAATTTTACACTTTGCTTTCATCTCCTTTCCACCTCCAACGAAGGCTTGTCCTCCTCATCATCTCTCATTCCTTGCTCATCTTTCACCGATTAAAGTCATTCCATTTCTCCTAAAATATATTTTCATCTGTACTGTACTGCAGCTTTGACCTTGTATGGGTCTCATTCCCGACGGGGCTCGAACTCGGGTTGTATGCAACAATTCCTCTGTTACCGTGAATTGATAGAAGCCGGTCTTGTGATAGCTGTGTGATGGTGTTGCTACACTACCACTTAGTTCACCCGATTCTAGTTGAAGTCCCGTTGTGGGTATAGATGAGACCCGGAAGTGGTTGAAACTGCAGCCCTGAGCAGGTGAAGATGCTTTTTAGGAGACAAGTCCAATGAACAATTAATTTGAAAAGCCGACAATCAGTCTTATTCATGGTCTCCCAATGTTTAAGAGACTTACTTAATCAGAATATAACTTTGACTCGTCTCCTTTCCTCCTTTTCCGATCTCATCCACTTTCGCCTATCTCTCGAACAGGAGACATCAAGCGAGGCAAAATCCTGTCGGCAAACCTTTGAGTCGCTTGGTTTTCGGGAGCACATACACTCATCAAGCTTGCGGCAACATGCATGTTTCGCTGACAACATCAATGCTGTACATCGTCTAGACTCCACCACCTCAACTGCGGTCGCTTCAACATCTTCCGCTCGTTCAACCGGTCCGAGACCAAATCAACAGGAACCGAGGCCAGTCGACTCGATCAGTCATTCTGGGGATTCTTTGAGTTGCCCAGGCAACAGTCTCAGTCGTGAAGCCACACGAACTGACTTTGTTGCAGGCATCTTCGAGCCGAAGACGACTTGTCGAGCTGAATCCTTTGCATTGTTGCCACCGTCCAGATCCGTTCGTCTGCAGCGTCTTTTCGTCCCAGACGCCATTTGTAGTATTCCAAAGGCAATAACAGCCTGTACGCCCAGTTCAAGCAAGGTCGTCACCGCGACCCAGAGATCATCGAATGAAACGAGCCAGCACGAGGCTGACAACGGGACCCGGCATCACCTGTCAACCTCAGGGTGAGCACTATCTTTGGGCAGCCTCGAACTAAAGGAATGATGGTCTGATTGGAAAATTCACCGGGTTGCAACCAATCACTCAGGCTTCGATGGGTCAAAAATGACAATATAGGAGGAATTTGTATATACTTTGACTCGGATTATCACTTGAACAAAATGTTGGTTGGAAGGAATTTGGAAATTGGGTTCACAGAAAACCGATGAATTCATGATGAAGTTAGGCCTGTTGTTCCTGGACATATGTTGTCAGAACGAGAAATCGTCATAATTTCTTCGTTTAGTGTATTGACGCGTTGGTACATAACGGATGCTTAATTGTTATGGCGTTTGCTGCGTCAAGACGAATGTAAGCCCAACACTCTTCTCAAGGCGGTGAGATGATGACTTTACGCACTCCAAGGCAATCCTTTTTCGACGACCAGTAAGGTCAAATCACCTACCAACTTTTCATTTAAGTGAAAATTCGTGTACC